CTTTCCCTTCACGGTGAGTAACGGGCTTCTCTTCTCCCATTTTTTCTTTTCACAAGGGTCCATTGATTATTCGATTTTACTGCACCAGCTCCTCCTGCTGACTTTGTCCGGAGGAGAAATCTTCGGTCTACGAATGTGGTCGCCGCCGCCAATCGGCACCTTATGGGATCAGTGACGAACGCTAAAGGACTCCGCTTTGCTGTGGTAAAATGTCTTGTTCTATTTCATTTGAATAAAAAATTTGGATACTGCGAACATTATTGATTCGAGGTTTTGTGCAGTTCGTAGATCCGTAGAGACTTTTATGTTTTGTTTAGCTCAGCAAAATGGCGTCTTCTTCTGTTTTACTGCCTTAATTAGATAGCATGTTTGTTGTATGCTCTATGGATTTAGATATGAATTTGTTTTTTTTTAGTATTTTGGAGGGTCTTAACATTTTGTTGTTCAAGATTTTGCTTTAACATGTTAAAAGGTGAGAGAGGCAGAGGGGTGACAGCCAAATGCTTTCAAATGTATTATGTGAGATATTTAAATAACAAACACCAACTGTCCGTTAATGTAATCCATCAAATTTATTGCTTAAGCTCAACCAACGCCTTGACAACCACTTATTCTTGTAGTTTGAAAGATTCTTTTGAAGTGATAGTTTCAGGGATTGAGAATTTGGATTTGTGACCTTCTTTGTCCCCCTTTTTACTCTTTTTTTACTTTGCATTTTTGTTACTTAATCTCTCCCCCACTTACGTCCTTCGAGCCTAACTTTGACACTCTATATGAATAAATTGTTGTAAGATTTATGTTGCTTTTTATACTTACAAAATTGAAATAATTAAACATTTAGGGCTTGTTTGGGATCAATTTTATATTTTATTTTTGTTTTTGTCTTTTCTTTTTTTTTTAAGAATATCTTTTTTCATTTTGTTTTTTACATATATTTATTTTTTTCCAACAATAAATTTACATGTTTTTGAAACAATACAACTTTCAGGTGTTTTGAGTGTCGTTAAAACAATTATATTTTAATCATTTATGCCAAATATGTTTTGTTTCAAATTAAGAAAAAACAAGCGATCCCAAATGGCTCCTTAGGGTTCATTTGAGACTATTTTATCTTTAGATATTGTGTTTTTTATTGGTATATTTTTCTAAAGTGTTCTTATTTAATACATTTTTTTTTTACTTAAGTTCAATTTTTCTTAAACAATAAACCAACTTGTTTTTAAAAACATTCAAAACATATATAAGGGCTTGTTTGAGATCAATATTATATTTTGTTTTGTTTTTTTCTTTTGTTTTTAAAAACATATTTGTTTAGTTTGTTTTTTATGTTTTTATTTTTTATTTCTAAAAATAAATAAACATGTTTTTGAAAATACACAATCATTGTTATTTTGAGTGCTTTAAAAAATAATTATATCTTAATCGAACACCTCAAACATGTTTTGCTTTAAATCAAAACATAAACAAAACAATAAAAATAGGAAATAAAAAATAGAAGTGATCCCAAACGGCCCCTAGTTTTGAATGTTTTTAAAAACAATCATATCCTTATTAAACATGACAAACATTTTTTATTTTAAAATAAAACACAAACTAAATAAAATGAAAACAAAACAGAAAACAAAAAATAAGAGTGGTTCCAAACAACCCTTTAGGAGAATGTTGAAACTATTGCTTCAGTATGATTTCTATTCTTGATTGTTTTTCTCTATTTTGTTTTCCTTGAAGGTTGTAGCACGGTTTAATGAGATCATCACAAATCCATTATTGGAAGGAGCTCTACAGACTTTTAAACAATATTCAGTCAAAGAAGAAGACATTACAGTAACTTTTCCCTTCCCATCTTTTAAGTTTTTTTTTTAACTGGTGGACCATTTTGTATGTTTATTATCACAATTTTAAGATTAAAACGAAAAAATTGCAAATTTGTGTAAGGTTCTATTTGGCGTGACTATCTTGTGTTGTTTTGTGCTATGCTATATAATGATGTTTTATGTTGTTCTATTGGGTAAAGTGTATGATAGTTTGCTAAACTTATGTTAAGATTGCTATCTAAAGTTATTATAAGAGTTTTGTCTGTTAGGTTAAAACTTGTATCACATATATGAGTGAATTGAATGCCAAAAATGGTTATTATAATATCGGTAATTACAATTGTTTATCAATTAATTGGATAAGAAATATAAAGTTTATTAAAATGTTTTCTAGGAAGCCAGCTAAGCTGTCATTCTAACAAAATTATGACTGGACCTTTTCACACATTTGGTTTAAGAGATCCAAAAATTGTTTATGCTATTTAAGAAAGTAAAATCGCTCAACATTGTGCTATGCAAAACAAAACCTAAATGTCAATTATGCAGTTAACCTTTTCTTTTATGTTTCTGTCATCACTGTCTAATTGTGTATCTCTGTGTGTGAATGATTATTAAGTCTTTGTAATAAGTGCTTGCTTAGAACTGTGATTGCATGTACATGTACGTTCATGTGTTCTTCAGAATCATGTCCGTAACTGAGCTTAATATCATCTATACAGTAAGTTCTATATGAGAAATTCAAGACAATTTATTTCAAAGTCATGTCTACTTAATCTTCATGTAAGTGACCTGCATCAGACCATTGTGCAAGCTCTTAAAATTTTTCATTACTTGGCTCTCAGTTGATGTTAATTAATTGTTTCCAAGCTTGTACGCCTTGTGTTACTTTAACCACTGTGATTAAGCGTCTGGCTGTATTTTTATGTTCTCTAACTTTTTCCTTTTATTAAGCCTTCCATTCAGGCTCTGTTTAGATTGAAGAAAGCGAAGGATGTTAAATGATGATCAACCATATTATGAGTTAAAAACGAATTAAAAGCCATTGATTTGTGATTTTCAACTCCATTTTTATTTCATTTCACTTTGTCTGGATTGCATAAAATTCTTAGTGTTGATTTTCTACTTTTTCACTTGATAAACCTTATGGGAAATTACCACTATTAAAAATCAATAGCTAAACATGACTTAGTCCACATAATTTATCTAAACTTATTCAAATTAATTACGGTCATTATTTTGGGATAAACCAATAATATTAAGCCTAAATGCTTAATCTTCCTAATTTTCATAAAAAATAAAGTATAAATCTAATATTGACTATCACTAAAAATTTAGATTGATTTTTTGTTTTCTGAATTAAAGAAAAAAAAAGGAGAGTGGAAGGTGAGATTACCCAAAAGTTCTTCGACAAGTAAGGATGATGAATTTGACAGGTACATGGGGAGAGAAAGGTGACTCTGCCTTGCATTGGTTATAGATGGAAGATAAAATTTAGAAGCGAAGGTCTTATGATATGCAATTCCTTGTTTATGGAGAAAGGAAGGATTCAAGATCTTTTTGTTAAGGACTTATGGTCGCATCTTGCAAACTCAATTAAAGAAGGAAGTTTTTAGGAGGAGGTTCTTTGTTACTGGCTTATGGAAGGGAGAATTGAATCAAGGGGAGGTTTTGGAGGCTTCGAGGGAAGAAAATGAGATAGAAGTGTGATGCGCGGCTTCATCAAAGTAAATGGCATCAGACCAGCGATAGGGTGATGTGTGATTGAGTCTTGATGAATTCGTGTGTAGGGCTTGAGGTTGAGTTCATGGTGTGATTGGCCATAAAGCATCTTAAATCGATTATGTTTATAGGTTCTTTTGTTCATTTTATTACACAATAATCCTCTCTTCTTTGTAGTTCATGCACTGAGGATGGAGATTGCTCTTGATAAATTTGAAGTTATTACTTTTGTTGATGTGCCTTAATAACAGTGATTGCTGCAACAAATTTTCTCTTCCAGTTGATACCCTTGGAGGTGAAAGGTTTGATCATGATCCCACTTTCTCCCCCTACTTCATGTAAGAGAGTTTTCAATGTCGATTGAGAAAACCAAGGGGGACCAAACTCATATCATTCTTGTAACACTATTTTTCTAGGTTTCTGTACGGATGACATTGGCTATGTCTCAGTTGGGAATATATGAATAGTTAGAATATGATGTCTCAGGAGAGCACATGAGGTTTAGAGTTTATTACTTTGTTGACGAGGGCATGCAAAACTTTGACGAAAAGGTTAATGAAGAGGAAAAATAGCCTCTTGCGAGACAAGAGGAGGAGATATATCTATTTTGGTAGAGTAGTCAGATTTGAAACTCAAGTCGCAAAGCTTTGTGCCTAACTTGATTATGAGATAAACAATTAGAATAACTACAAAGCCTCTTTTAATTGTTTTGAGACGTTGAGAGAACAATTTGAGAAGATGGAGGGCTTTAATGCTACCCAAAGACTAGCAGAGCCCGAGCCAAATATCTCTGAACAGTATAGGATTGAACCAACCATAACAATTCAGCTTAAGGTGAGCCTTCCAATTGAAGTTTGGAATGCAAACTCTTTTATTTGTGGAGTGGAAGAGAGAATTTATCTAACCAGTTATAGTGGCTACTTTGATATTGGTATCTTGATATTGGCCTTTTAATGATTGATGAATCATAGATTTCTACTGTAATAATAATAATAATTACTATTATAATTGTAATAATTGAATGGACAACAAAGATAAGCATCTCTTCAGTTTAGACTTAAGAGCCATATATTCTCTTTTGAACCAACGAGAGGAAGCAAGAGCGAGTAGGGGAAAGGATGAAAAATTGGTGCCTTAATAGAAGAAGAGGAAAGGAGGAGAAATGAGGAGATTTGAGTCTTGTGTCGTGCACTAGTGCTACCATCTTGCATGAAGGAAGCAGAGTGGTGCACAATCTGTTCGGGTGTGCTTTCGGAAGGTCAGATCGAGCCGCTCATGAAGGAGAAAGGAGAGGCACGGGTTTAGGTGATGCTACATCACTCTTCATCGAAGCAAGAGAAGAGTCGAAGCATCGGTTCTTTGCTTGCGACGACACAATCGAGCCGAGCTCAAAGGAAGAAGGAAGGAGAGAACTTGCAGGTCCTTGCGGGAGAAGAAGTCAAGCCTCACGTGAAGAGGGGGCGAGTGCGATTCAAGGTAGAGCTGAGCCATGGATTAACATTAATTAATGTTTTATTTATATAAGAAATTTTATTTATTTAGACGTTATTAAGATTAATTTTTAAACATTATTAAGGAATTTCAGTGATCAAATCTGGGTAAGCAATCAAATTAACGGAAAAAGGGAGGCAGGTTCATTTTTAGCCCTAGTATATAAATTAAGATAAATTGGGTTAACGTTTAATTTAAGTACTTATTAAGGAAATGCTTCAATTTTAACATCAAAATTTTTATTAAAATGTTAATCATAATTTATAAGAAGAAGGATATAGACTAAATCAAGCCAAATTGTAAAGGAGAATTCAAGGGAAAGGGAAAGACATTCAGTTTTTAGGTGAGTGATTGCTTTCTTATTGATATTAAATTAATGATTTATTTAAAAGTTGCATTTAAAAGATAAAATATTATAATAATATTGGTAAACATGAACTTGCAATATTGTTATAAAAGCAAATATTTCATTTATGATTTGCAATTTTGAATGTTTGAAAGATGTCACAAATTGGAGGAAAATAATTGAAATATGAAAATACATTTAAATTATTTTAAGTTGATATAAAATGATGAGTAATAGATTCAATCACCTTTACACGAGAAAAAGAAACGGAAATGATAAATGCATATCTGTGGGTGCAAAATTTTTAGAGTGCCTACATGTACAAACTTTTAAGGGTATCTATGGGTACAAATTTTTTAGGATACATTCAGATATGACAGTGATCCTGATATGACTTTTTAAAAGAAAGACATGTTAAAAAGATAAATGACTTAAGTCGAACAAAAATGATTAATTTAAATTAAAATTTTACAATTTGATTAATTAATGAATCACATTTCTTTTGGATATTTTGGTATAACATTTGCATATTAATTTAATGCATAATAAAATTATAATTACTCACTAAGTTGTGGTAAATTTGCTATTTAAATTTTTTTTTAGGTAAAACTGTAGATGGATATGACTGATATGAGAGAGTTGGTTTACTGGAGAAAGACTATTGATACTTGGCAGTAGGTGGTTTGATATAGGCTAGTTTTTTATACCGTTTATTTTAGATTAATGTTGTACTGTTATTGGTTGGATTGCGGTAATGTTTTACTTTCAAACGATATTGTTACTTTGTTGGATTGATATCTTTTTAGTGTACTTTGTGATTTTTATTGACTCCTTATTATTGGAGTTAATGATGATTTTTATATAATTTATAATAAAGGCTAATAATGTTTGACCGCAGTTCCTGACTTAGTTAATTCTAAGTTATTAGTTTGGGTCATGATATCTAATCTGCTCAGATAGACATGCTATGAGTTTTAGCAATGAAACTAAAACTTGGTCAAATTTCTCAACATTCTGAGCCATCACATTTTAGAGAATCAAGGGTTCATGAATATTGCACTCTTTGAGCTCATAAAGCTTATGGTTCTAGTTTGGCTGATAGAAATTATAATTCTAGGATTTTGATAAAACACGACGTATTTTCACCTTTTAATTTTTATTATGTATATTTGATCTTTAATGGGATAATCTTTTTAAGTATTTTAATTTGTTCATTGTTGTTCACCTTATATAACTTAATTTTAACACTGAACTAAGTTTATTGATCATTTTTTCAAAGTCGAATGATAAATCTGATATGCAGCCGAGTTTTAGTAATCAACCACATGCCTTAATTTGATTTGATTGTAACAAATTACTTGAGATTTAGGGTCACTTAATTGGAGTTGAGTAGGTTAACGATGTTTGAGGGATAGTGGAAAGCGTATTGTTTACAATCAATGTTTGATTGATATCTTTTTAGTGTACTTTGTGATTTTTATTGACTCCTTATTATTGGAGCTAATGATGATTTTTATATAATTTATAATAAAGGCTAATAATGTTTGACCGCAGTTCCTGACTTAGTTAATTCTAAGTTATTAGTTTGGGTCATGATATCTAATCTGCTCAGATAGACATGCTATGAGTTTTAGCAATGAAACTAAAACTTGGTCAAATTTCTCAACATTCTGAGCCATCACATTTTAGAGAATCAAGGGTTCATGAATATTGCACTCTTTGAGCTCATAAAGCTTATGGTTCTAGTTTGGCTGATAGAAATTATAATTCTAGGATTTTGATAAAACACGACGTATTTTCACCTTTTAATTTTTATATGTATATTTGATCTTTAATGGGATAATCTTTTTAAGTATTTTAATTTGTTCATTGTTGTTCACCTTATATAACTTAATTTTAACACTGAACTAAGTTTATTGATCATTTTTTCAAAGTCGAATGATAAATCTGATATGCAGCCGAGTTTTAGTAATCAACCACATGCCTTAATTTGATTTGATTGTAACAAATTACTTGAGATTTAGGGTCACTTAATTGGAGTTGAGTAGGTTAACGATGTTTGAGGGATAGTGGAAAGCGTATTGTTTACAATCAATGTTTTTTTTAAAAAAATTAGATATTGGAGAATGATTTCCGAACTATTCTCTTTGAATTGGGATTTTATCTATTTGGATTTTCAATTCGAGCATGATGGTGGACGGGAAATGTTATGGTTTTCATTACTTTTTTTTGGCCATGCTAAATTGAAATCAGACATTCTCATCTTGATTGATCTTAATTTGTTTAGTAAACTTTATAAAGTTCTCAATGAATTTGCTTTTAGTGTTCCATCTTCATAGAAGCGCCCAAAACTTTTTTCCTTGAAAATAGGTTTATTTTATTTTATTTTTTTTCTTTTTTTTTGGGCAACCATCAAAAGCTATTCGATCAACTTCCTCCTTCAATTGTTGACATTTTGAATTTCCTTTCACTAATTTCCACCCAAATTACTTTGAATTTAATTTTTCCAGTTCTTATTACTCATGTTTTTGAGCTTGGTCATTTAACTTTTTTTTTTTTTTTTGATATTTTAAAGTGAGGAAGAAGGATATCCTTCATTTTCTCTCAATCTTTGTTTAAGAATTTTTGGCATCCTTCTTGTTTCTGGGATGGAATAAAAGATTTATCTTTATTGCCTTCTTTTGGGATTGGCCAACCTGAACTTCAAAGATCCAATTCTCAATTGATTCCATAAGCACCTTAGCTTGATACTCAGACTTATAAGCAATTGATAGCAGCCAAATTATTCACTACAAGATGCCTAAACTATTCAAAATTTAACTTGATAAGCATAAACATTTGTATTTATCCTTGTTGACTTTAGTACTTATTAGGGCCATCTTAAAGCTCTTCTGTCGCTGACTTGAAAGGTGCAAAGCCTTTTACCAGAATTATGCTGGAGAAGGGTAGGTCGACATAACCGTTTATCGACGAGCTCTCTGAGGCTATTCTCCCCTGGGAAGCAATGTACACCTACAAGATCAATTGTGGATTCAAACTATTTGATTGAGCCTTCGTATGATTGTGAGAGAGCTGATCGTTCACCTTGGAATCTTGATTCAATTGATGATATAATTTGGCGGAATGATGAGAGGACTAAGACTAACACTACGCTGAGTAAAACTCTCACCAGTTTATGATGGAAATCGAAGAGACTATTCTTCCTTGAGTAGAGAGGGGAGGAGATGCAAAGTGTGAAAATTCCTCGTATCCCTCATTTTGTGATGAAGAGATGTTGGGTCAGTTGCACATTTTGGATGATCTTTCTTTAAGAAAGTTTTTTCATTAGTGGAAGATCTTAGAAAAGGCCAATCTGAGGGTTGATACCGTGGAGTAAGCATTAAAGGAAGCATCCTTTTTTTTTTATTATTATAGGAGGTTGAAGTAAATTTTAACTTTGATGTTTGAGTTTAACTTTGATGGTTGAGTTAACACTGGCATGCTTGAAGTTATGGTTAGAGCCTGAGAGTTAGAGCTATAGGGCAAGCTGAACTATATTGCGGATGGCTTGTTCAAGTTGAGTTGTGAGAGTGTGAAATTCGCATAATAAATCCTCTTTCATGGAGAGGTGGTGTAGACATTTTGAAGTCTAAGCTGAAAACAATGGTCTTGTTGATTGAACTATTTTAGATTCTACCCAAATATTTGCTACAATGAATGATAGTTGAAGCTTTTAGAAACCATTTTGATGCAGTTTTTATCCTTCCAAACATAAATTTTATGGATCAGAATTCAGAGATTGCAGTCTTGTTTGGAGAAAGGAAGAAAAGAACGATCGACTGCTCTAAAGAAATTGAAAGATAAAGAGGAACATCCATTGTTATTTCATTCTTCGAGATATGTTGAGAGGGGGATTTCTCTGCTCTCATCAATTTTCTCTATAGAGAGTTTGCTCTAAAGATATGGTGAGATCTACTCTCCCTCTTGATTATTAGAGTTTTTCATTATGTTTGAGTAAACCACTTATCTGTACTCCATCCATTTGTAATTAATTGAATGCCTCATTGCCTTATGGATCTAGTTCGTTTTATATGGAGCAACATGAATTTGTTGTTCTTTGGTTTTGTGTTTTTTCTTCGTACAATTTACATTCATATGACCTCTTAGGTTGATCCTACCTGTTACGTTTCACCAAGAGGGGTAATTTGGGCCTTATGTTTCATCACTCTCAAATTCTAAGCGAGTCTTGGTTTATGATGCATCTTGCAAGAGAGTTTAAAAGTATTATTGATGAACTGTATGTTAATTATATACAAATAGCATTTTAAAAGAACATATGTAGTTTTGATGATGTCAATGTGAATCAACATCACGTTTAGGTTTATTTTTGTTGTCCATTATTCATCTTAAGATCTTAACTCACTTATATGTATTCCATCCTTTTGTTTATTGTATTTATTGAGGACAGTTTTGATATTTGTTGAATTTTCTGTTTTCTTTTGCCATTTTATCAATCAAATATGGGGTATTTTTCTTTATTTTAGTTGTTAATGATATAACATTAACCCAGTTTTATATTGTTTTTTCGGATTTCCGTTCATTTACTCACTCATGCTTTCTTTAATAATATGTAGGTCGTCAAAGTTCCAGGTAGTTTTGAGATTCCTGTTGTTGCACAAAAACTTGGAAAATCGGGAGCTTATGATGCAATTTTATGCATAGGAACTGTGGTAAACTTATCCCCCCATCTGATATCTTGCTGTCAAACAGTAGTCATATATCAGTTTGCTGCTTTAATTATTAGTTCTCTTCCCATTTAAGGATCATTGAATCTCCAATTATGTATGAGGGCTCCGAAAATTTTGGTGCCCCCGAACTCCGCATTTGTTTGTTGAGACAGCTTTGAGGGTCAAATTTTCAGAAGACGGATAAAATAATAGACAATACACTACCTAGAGATTTCACCTTCATTTTACGAAGACTTTTTGATATGGGGTTTTCCGATAGGCGCAAGACCTTATAGTTAATTACTTCTCCCGAAAGACTTTTTGATATGGGGTTCAAGATTTCCCATAGGCGCAAGACCTTATAGTTAATTACTTCTCCCGATAACGGGAGAACAGTTTTGATTAAAGCTAGTTATTTAGAATTAAATATTTAATATATAGCTGCAGTAATAAACATGTAGTTTAAGTTGTAAAATTTATCACTTGGAGTTTAAAGTTGATGGTGGGGGGAATGATGACGAACCCAATGAAGATCCCATGATTTTGTCATCCCAGGTTGTCGTAGTCTCTGATCTATCAGAGGAGACATTCGACCTAGTCTGATTGAATGATTTTTGTCAGCAATTATGGGTTATGTTATCCAAGAGGACAAATTTAAGTTCATCTTAACTAACAGAAGACTTTGTGCCATCAGACTTACACTTATATTTCACAATTCAAAGGGCAGAAAATTGTTGGAGAACTTAAGGGCTACGTCGTAATCGTAATTTAATTTTGTCATTTGGCAGCAATCTCTCGACCAATGCAATCTAGTCATAACTATTATTTTGTGGGGCTTTTGAGCCACGCGGAAAAAAGACTCGTACCACGTCCTTGCTAGCATGAAATTATTTTGAGTGAATATAATAGTACACTTGATGTGATATTAGCTCTTTTATGAGCTGAAATCAATCAAAAGTTTATCACTCTCGACAAACAATTGCGGAGGGTGGATGCGATTTGTATTTTAAGTTTTTTAAGTGATTAATTTTACTTGAATGTTTAATTTTTTTACATTGAAATTTTGATTTGAAAATCTTAATTTTAAAAAGGTGACCACTTCGGTTGAGATTTTCGATCAACATGACCATCATCAGAGATTTAAATATTTGAAACATGTATGCTTAAGATTCATTTAAAATTTGTCAATTTTAATATTTTTTTGTATATTAGTCCTGTCGATTCTAAATCTAATTTGGGAGAAGATTAGACTATACAATTTGAATTTGTAAATTTTTATGTTTATGATCAATACATTATTTCAAAATTATTTAACTTGTCAACCTGAGTCCTAAATAGGATGAAGATAGGACTAATTGAGTGAGACTTATGACATTGCCTTATAGACAAGGTAGGTTGATTGATTTTTTTTTCAAAATGTGAACTATTTGAGTGTAAGTTCATCATTAACCCGTGTAGCATTCGTAAGCTATTCTGTAAGACATTTAGAATTCTATTTAGAACCCTTGCGGGCTTTAAATTTCATGTTTGAATAAGTTAACAAATTTTATAGATTTTAGAAACTTGCACAATCTTTAAACTATTATTTTGATATGAAATTCACATCAAAAGGCACATGCAAAATTTTTTAATTAAGCATAATTTTCTCATTTAGATGAACATTTTGAAGCATTTATAGTAAGGAGTGTCGACTTATTATTCGAATAAGCCTTAAAACTACTTGTCAAAATTCCAAGACACTTCATTTGACTTATGAAATAACCATATAGTTTATGTTGACTTTGAATTATTTGAAGTCATTTGAAACTATAAATCCTTTGTTTAGATATTTTCTTGTTAGAGTGCATGCGAAGTTAATGTTTGGATTTACGAGGGACCACATTCTGTACGCTAGCAGGTGTATTGTAAATTAAGTGATGTGAAGACAATTTTTTAAAACTTATTTAGTGAATCAAAGAGTCTTATTCATTTGTCTTTTTAACCTTCATGTGATAAAATCTTAATTTCTCATGAATTATTAGATTTTTATACTAGTTATCATTTATAACACATTTAAAATTTTTAAGCCCAATAATTAATTTAAAATGTTATTGCAAGGCCATATTTTTTTATTTATCACATTATAAGCTCAAGTAGTCCATATTTTAAGTCATATGTAAGTCCAAGTCATTCTAAAATTTGGCAGCCTTCAACATTTACCCCTAATAGGGGGCATAGGGGAGAATGACAGTCTTCTCAATTATCTTAAAAGAGGCACTGATCAATGTCGCTTTCAATGTACCTGCAAAAAAGACAATCAAGAGCACCATTTTTTCTGAATAAGTACTTTGTTCCCTGAACGGTATTTAATTCCTTGGACAAGTACTCATGTTTCTCAGTACAGGTACTTAAGTCTTCTAATTTTTATAAAAATTTTCCAAACGAGCACACAATTTTCTCGAACGGTACTTAATTCCAAAAAACAGATACTTGAGCTTCCTCGCATGAATATTTTTAGGAAAAATTCATCCTCTACCCCACTTTATTATAGCTTTGCGAGCGAGATCGTTGAAACTAAATTGATGAGTCTATGAATTACGAAGCTTCTCTCACTGTCTGTCTTCTTATGTATATATATGGATATATATGTGTGTGTGTGT